TCTATAATTCCACTATTTCCAGGCATTCACTGATGCAGAGACGTCACCAGGAGTGTCCCACACCCATCCTGGGCTGCTCCTCATGCCAGGACCCTTCACCCCTGCCCCTCACTTGTAGGTCAGCATTGGGTTGTTTTTTTCCAGCTGTGGATGTTGGGTTATCCAGTGAAAAATAAATCTGTTCACAAAGCAAGGCAGAAAACACCAACAGCCCTCATTAAGTCACACCACAGGGAAGATCCAGATGAATGATTTGAATATTTGATTGAAGTCCCCTGGAGCAGCAGCTTCTGATTCTGCTTTGTCCCACGTGGAGGCACGAGCTGCCAAGGGCCTGTGGCCACGTCTGCAGGGTCTGTTGGATGCATGGAAAACAGCATTCCCACCTGAGTTATTCCCAAAAAATGCAGCCACCCCTGGACACAAGCAGGAGGGGTCCATGCCTGGCAGGAGAAGGAGATTGTTTACCCTCCCCTCTTCTCCCTGCTTTTATTCCTTTTGTCCTTATCAAATCCAATTGTCCCTCTGTGCACCCTCTCCCCGGGTCTTCCTCACCCTCTCCCCTCCCTGCCTCTCTGTCAATTTATTCTGACTGGCTCATTAATTCATTTTGCTCATTAACCAAAAGAAATCTCACCAGTGATAACGAGTTCCAATACAAATTAATTCTGCAGGGAAGACCAGGCACTTCACAGCTCCTTGGCAGTGTCAGGTCCGTGCCCAGCAGGGCCCCTGGCATGGGGCTGGTGGCCAGATGGACACAGGGATCATCCCTGGAAGTGTCCAAGGACAAGCTGGGATAGTGGAAGGTGTCCCTGCCCGTGGAAGGGGGTGGAATTGGATGAGCTTTAAGGCCCTTTCCAGCACAAACCATCCTGGGATTCAGCCACGGAACACAAAACCCACCCAGCTTCACCCAGGTGCCTTCCCACCGCCAGGTAAATATATCCAGCAGGAATTCCAGCAGGAGTGTCCCCCTGTGTGTGCTGCTGTGAGATCCCACTCGCTCCCCGCTGGATTGGAGCAGCAGGAGCAAAAGGCAGGGAAGACAAAGGGCAGGGAAGCTCCTGCAGCCTCCTGGCAGGCAGGGATGAGTCAACGCTGTGCAAACAACTCTAAAAATACAAACGCTTTATTGCAGATTAATGACACCATCAAACGGATTTCACTGGCCATTTACCAGGTGTTGATCATAAATATTTGGGATTCACAATACACTTCTGTGCTGCGCCACTGTGGTGGTGTTTGTGTCCCTCCCAGCCTCCCTGGGCTGCTGTGATGGGGCATGAGCAGGTAAAGGAGACAAAGGAGCAGCTCCTGCTCCCTCCCTGCAGCACCGGTGCTTTTCCACTCTGTTTTCCAGGGATCTGCTGCTCCTGCTGCCCTTGCAGTGGGTGAGCCCAGAGCTGGGGGGACACATCCCACAGGGATCCCCCCTGGCACCGCAGCCCTGCCCAGGAGGAGGAGAGGAGCCCCTGCCCGCCCTCCCCAGGGCTCATCCACAGGCAATTCCAGGGGGAACCCAGGGATGTCGGAATCTGTGGGTACTGATGATTCCGAGATTGGAGAAAGTCTCTGTCTTAATTCCTCTGTGCTGGTTTCAAGGTTGTTTATTCTGTTTATCTCTAACATGTTCTGCTGCCCTGCCGCAGCTCTGTCCTGCAGGGCAGCGTGTGGGGCTCTGCCCTCAGTGGGATGTTACAAACATTAAATACCAGAAACTACCTGTGCTGGATTTACAATAACGTGCCAATATCTGTCACCTACGTTGGACAGTGTGTCCCCAGCCTAAACCAACAGAAAAATGCCAACACCACAGTGAAACATGGAGGGCATGAAGAAGGAGAAAAAGGACAAGGCACACCCAATTTCCTCCATCTTGTCCCCTTTGGACCCCTCATCTAGAATTCTAAAATTTTACTTTTGTACCTGTGCCACACTTAATTATTACTTATATCAAACACTCAAAGCTTGTAATTCACCCTGTAAGATTGAAAACTCTTTTCCATGGGCAGAGATCACAGCCAGTGTCTCTGGGGGCTCTGTCCAGGGGGGTTCCTGACCCCTGCCAGGGTCCCAGGGCAGCCAGAGGGAAGCTCTGGACTCCCACACAGGGAAAGGGCTCAGCACAACTCTCCAGCCTCCCTGGGAGCTTCTGGAGGCTCCTGGGCAGGTCACGGTGCCTGGGCTGGATTCAGAAGCTCCCAGTGACAGAGCCACCAGCAGTTTGGATTTTTCCAGCCCTTGGCTCCTGCTGGGTATGAAGCAAACATAATTCCCTCCGAGGTCAGTGCTGCAGGGACACTGGGAATGGCTCTCCAGGAGCTGGGATCCAACCTGGAAGAGGTGACAAGTCTCAGTGATCAGCAGGAGCGTGACTGTGGCTCCAAACAGCCCAGGGAGGCTTCCCGAGCAAATCACAGGATCAGGACAACTCCTGGAGAAAAGGAGAATGTTTTAAATGGCCAGGAGAAACAGCAGCATCACTAAATAACCCCCATGGGGTCACCACCATCCGCAAACCTTCATCACGCTTGGAAATCAAACTCTGATGGAGCATTAATTAAGTTTTCCAGCAGGATAAAACCACTTCCTTGCTTGGGATTTCACTCTGCTCACAAAGATTAAAAATACAGCTAATTAAAACAAGGCTGGCATGCAAAGAAGGGAAGAATAAAAAGTCTTGTCGTGGCTGGGAGGGGACAGAATCCTTCCAGACGCAGGTACAGATGACTCAGGGCTGCTGAATAACCCCCCTGCTGTCTCTCTGCTGTGGGGAAGGTCTCCTGTTGCTGGGAGAACTCCTCCAGCAGCTGTGTATCACCTGCCAGGCAACAAAAATGTCCTGAAATTGGCTCCAAGGTAGCTGGTAGCCAAGTGCAGTGTTAATTAAACAGCCTCAGAGCTGCTCCAGAACTGCTCTGCTCCCCCCACCCCACCCCTGATCATTTTCTGTTCAAATGAATCCTTTTCCCTGCAGCATTTCTGAAGGGCTGTGGAGAAAGGATAACATTTCAGGCTTTGCCTCCCATCCCTCCTGCTTTCCTGTCCCTTTCTTCTCTTGGCCAAATTTGTTTGGCCTGAAAAACAGAGTTGAAGCAGGTATTGACTGAAAACACATCTTCTTGAAATGTGGAAGGGCTTCCTCCACTCCTGCCACCCTTCCCCAGAGGGTCTGGCAGCAATGAACCACCCCAAATTCCCTCGTGGAGAGGGGAAGGTGGCCTGGGATGCGGAAAGGAGGAGAAGGATTGTGAAAAAAATGCATATTTTGAGGTTGGCTTTTCACAAATATTACAATGAATATTATATGTTTAATGTCAGAAAGTGATGCTGTATTAATTCTCTTAAGTAGTGTGTTAAATAGAGTTTTAGGTTCCAACATAATGTTAAAATAGAGACTACGTATGTGGGGGGAGTTTTTTTTTAGGAATGAGTTACTCGCTTCGAGGAACACCGAAATCTTCCAAAGAAAAGGAATTTATGGTTTTCTTATCAGAAGAAACTAATTTCTTCAGGCCTTGCTCAAACTTGAAGACGCCTTGGGGATTAAAAGAAACAGTTGACATACAACAGAGTTCTTGTTTTAAATAGAATGTATGCATAACCACGAAGGATATATGAATATGCAACAAGTGAATTGTTTTAAGGTTATTTCTCTGTTCACAAGGCATGCTTTTTCATGACTTGGTGTCTGAGAGCATCCGGACGTCCGTAATTCTTTGCTTTTTATTGTCTTGTAATTGTCCTAACGCTAAACGTTATTACTCTAACTGTATTATTATTTTTATGACCATTTTATTATTATTAAACTTTTAAAATTTTAAAAACCAAGTGATTGGCGTTTTTCACCCTGAGGCTTTGCAGGTGGGGATTTGTTTGGGTGGTGTGAGGGTGGAATTACAGACGATTGGATGCTCTCGGACACTAAGTCACAAAAAGCATGCCTTGTGAACAAAGGAATAACCTTAAAAGCAATAGCCTGTTGCATATTCATATATTTCATACATGATGCATAAATTCTTTGCAAATTAAGAAGTTTTCTGGTTTTTGTCAACTTCTCTTTAATCTCAGTGATTCTATAAAGACGGAGAGAAGGTGGCAGATTGTTTGTCTTTTCTGATAAAGAGGCAGTAACTCTTTATGTGCCCTAAGTCACTGCCATCTCTGTGTGAAGAGCTTTTTGATTATCTCATCTCTTCCTTGAGCTAGCAAAATAGCCCCACATCACAGATTTCTATTTCAACGTTATGCTGTAACCCAAAACTATATTTAACACTCTACTTAAGAGAATTAATACAGCATAACTTTCTAACCTTACGCATACAATACTCATTGTAACATTTGCGAAAAGCCAACATAAAATATTCATTTTTCACACTCAGCGCGTCCATCCTCTCTATTTACACACCCACCTCGCCCTTTCCCTGTTTAATTAGAGCGGGATAATTAAGGCAGCACCCTGCTGTTCCCTTCTTTTCCCACCCCATGCGGTGTGAGGGCAAAATCTACCATTTCCCTCCTTTTTCCTGCAAACACCGCCTGCCTCTGGCCCTTGCCCGGCAGCATCATCTAGTGGCCATGGGCTCCGCACGTGGAATTGATGGAATTCGGGAATATCCCGAGCGGGACCATCCCAGCGCATCCCGGGATCCCGTCCTGCTCCAAACACCCCAAAAACCCCGTCCTGTGCATCCCTCAGAGCGCTGTCCCTGAATTCCGGCAGCTTTGGGGCCGTGCCCATCCCCTGGGTGCCGGTTGGGGTTGATTTAGGCTGTTAGTAAATAATAATATTAATAATAAATAAAGTTCTGGACACGTGGCGCTGAGAGGATAACGGGGCAGCGCCGGGCGGGCTCAGCGGCTGAGGGGAGCGGGTGGGATCCGCCCGGGAACAACCGTGCCGGGTGTGCCGGGGGTTCCCGAGGTGGGGTGGCCGAGTTTTGGGGAGATTTTGGGGCGGTTTTGGGGCGGTTTTGTGGATTGGGAGCCCCGCGAAAGGAAGCGAAGCGAAGCGCGCCGCCGGGGAAGTTTGGCCGCTGCGCCGCCCCGTCCGTCGCCACGGCAACCGGCGCGGCCGTCATGGCGGCGCCCAGCGTGTTCCTGCTGGCCGTGAGCGGCGAGATCGAGAGCGGAGAGGTGCGGGGGAGCCGCGACACCGCGGGGAACGCGCCGGCACAGCGCCGAGGGGTGGGGGGAGCGCCCTGGCCCGGCCTCGGCCTCGGTGCTGCGTCCGCCCGCGCGGGATGAGAGTCTGACCTCCCTGAGCTTGGCCGGCCTCAGCCTCATCCCCCAAACCCACCCCATCCCCATCCCCCAAATCCACCCCATCCCCATCCCCCAAATCCACCCCATCCCCATCCCCCAAACCCAGCCCGTCCTCATCCCCAAACCCAGCCCGTCCTCATCCCCAAACCCAGCCCGTCCTCATCCCCAAACCCATCCCAGCCTCATCCCCCAAACCCAGCCCGTCCTCATCCCCAAACCCAGCCCGTCCTCATCCCCCAAACCCAGCCCGTCCTCATCCCCCAAACCCAGCCCGTCCTCATCCCCAAACCCATCCCAGACTCATCCCCCAAACCCAGCCCGTCCTCATCCCCAAACCCATACCAGCCTCATCCCCCAAACCCAGCCCGTCCTCATCCCCAAACCCAGCCCGTCCTCATCCCCAAACCCATCCCAGACTCATCCCCCAAACCCAGCCCGTCCTCATCCCCAAACCCATACCAGCCTCATCCCCCAAACCCAGCCCGTCCTCATCCCCAAACCCAGCCCGTCCTCATCCCCAAACCCATCCCAGACTCATCCCCCAAACCCATCCCAGCCTCATCCCCCAAATCCATCCCAAACCCATCCCAGCCTCATCCCCCAAATCCATCCCAGCCCCATGCCCCAGCCCCAGCCTGTCTATCCCAATCTCGCTGGCACAGGCTGCCCTCAGCACCCTGACTCAGGCCCCAGAAATTCCCAGTGAATTCCCAGTGAATTCCCAGTGAACCCCTCACCTTTCTCTCTCTCTCCCCGCAGTTCCCGGGATTCGATGACCTCTACTGCAAATTCTCCTTTGTCTACGGCCAGGACTGGGTCCCCACGGCGGTACCAACACTGTCCTCACCCTGTGACCCTGTCCCCACCCCTGTCCCTGTCCCCAGCCCCGGGCTCACCCAGCCCAGCTCACCCCGGCTCCCCGCAGGGCCTGGAGGAGGGAATCTCCCAGATCACCTCCAAGAGCAGCGTCTCGCCCACCACGCTGGTCTGGAACTTCCCCATCGACATCACCTTCAAGAGCACCAACCCCTTCGGCTGTGAGTGCTTTGGGGGGGCCGGGCCCGGTGCCAAACCCCCCCTCACCCCCATTTCCTTGCAGGGCCACAGATCGTGCTCAGTGTCTACGGGCCGGACTTCTTTGGCCACGATGTTGTCAGAGGTTACGGAGCCGTGCACGTGCCCTTCGTGCCAGGCAGGTGAGTGCCAGGCAGGTGAGTGCCAGGCAGGTGAGTGCCAGCCTGACCTGCAGGACTCACACCCTGCTCCAGTTACCCTGCAACAAAATAAAAACCTCCCAAAAATCTCCTCACCCTGCCCTGTCAGTTCATGGAGATTCTCTAGCAGAGCTCTTTTGTCATCAGATAAATTTTGGTAACCCTGTAAAGTCCAAACTGTCCTGAAAAGAGCCCAGGTATTTAATCTTAGTTATTCCATAATAAATTGCCAGCCTGACCTGCAGGACTCACACCCTGCTCCAGTTATCCTGCAACAAAAGGAGCTCCCAAAAATCTCCTCACCCTGCCCTGTCTGTTCATGGAGATTCTCTAGCAGAGCTCTTTTATCATCAGATGAATTTTGGCAATCCTGTAAAGCCAAACTGGCTCAAAAGCCCAAATATGAAGCTCAGTCACACAATAAATTGCCAGCCTGACCTGCAGGACTCACACCCTGCTCCAGTTACCCTGCAACAAAATAAAAACCTCCCAAAAATCTCCTCACCCTGCCCTGTCAGTTCATGGAGATTCTCTAGCAGAGCTCTTTTGTCATCAGATAAATTTTGGTAACCCTGTAAAGCCCAGACTGGCCTGAAAAAAGCCCAGATATTTAATCTCAATTATTTACACAATAAATTGCCAGCCTGACCTGCAGCACTCACACCCTGCTCCAGTTACCCTGCAACAAAATAAAAACCTCCCAAAAATCTCCTCACCCTGCCCTGTCAGTTCAGAGGTTCTCCAGCAAAACTCTTTCATCATCAGATAAATTTTGGTAACCCTGTAAAGCCCAAACTGGCCTGAAAAGAACCCAGGTATTTAATCTCAGTTATTCACACAATAAATTGCCAGCCTGACCTGCAGGACTCACACCCTGCTCCAGTTATTCTGCTGTTTCTGGAACAAAAAAACCTCCCAAAAATCTCCTCACTGTGCCTTGTCAGGTCACAGAGGTTCTCTAGCAGAGCTCTTGTGTCATCAGATAAATTTTGGTAACCCTGTAAAGCCCAAACTGGCCTGGAAAAAGCCCAAATATTTAATCTCAGTTACTCACACAATAAATTCTCATTCCCAGCACTGGGACTGGAGGAAGTTCTGTTGTTCCTGTGCAAACCAATCCTTTCTGTGTGAAGGGAAAGGACCTGACGTGGCAGGAATTCTGTGCTTTCATAAATACAAAAATCCTGTTTTTTATTCATCCCTGGTGTTCTGGGCTCTCCTCTTTGTTTCAGGCACAAAAGAACCATTGCCATGTTCGTCCCAGAGTCCACCTCCAGGCTGCAGCAGCTCACAAGGTAACAATTAATGACTTTAATTCATTAAGGAGGGAATTTCTCTCCTGTCCTTAGCCACAAAAACCTTTGCAGCCACTCAGTGCTGCAGAGGTGTGACTGCTCTGTGCCATAACCGGTTTTCTGTAGGTAAAAATCACATTTTCAGGGGTCTGAAAGGGCCTTTTGAAAAGATTTCATAAACGTGTTAACAACAATGTTAATTCTATTAATGTATTATAGTAATATAAATGCATTACATTGGTGTATAGTAAAATATGTTAGTATATACTAATATATTATGTTAATATATAATATAATTAACATATTAATTAAATAACTGCACTAAATTACTGCCTGAATCTTCTTGGGGCTGTTTGGGAAGCACAGCCACAGGAGGAGCAAACCCATGAAAAAACAATTCCCAATCCAAGTTTTTTAAAGAAATTTAAGGTCTCAAAGCCTCTGTGGTTCTCTGGGTGGTCAAGGAGAATTTTTTAACAACATCTTTGCCACAGAAAGATTCTTTTACCCCAGAAAAAAAAAAACAAAACTGGATTTAACAAAATCTATACGAAATCAGTTGCAGTTTTTTTCCTTAAGGCAAAACTTACCTTTGATTGAAGCAGATCAATGAAAAGAATCAGGCTACAAAATCCTCCTGGGCACTCTCAGCCACCCAATCCATTAATTTGTATTTTGCATTCATTATTTTGTATTTTATATTCAATCATTTGTATTTTGTATACATAATTTTGTATTTTGTGTTCATTAATGTGTATTTTGTATACATAATTTTGTATTTTGCATTCATTATTTTGTATTTCGTATTCAATTATTTGTGTTTTGTATTTTGTATTCATAATTTTGTGTTTTGTATTCATAATTTGTATTTTGTATTCAAAATCTTGTAGTCATTAATTTGTATTTAATATTCATTAATTTTTATTTTGCATTCATAATTTTGTATTTGCATTCATTGTTTTGTATTTTGTATTCAATAATTTTGTACTTTGCATTCATAATTTATTTTGTATTCATAATTTTGTATTCACTGTTTTGCTTTTTGTATTCCTTACTTTGGTTTTTGTGTTCATTCATTTGTAATTTGTATTTTGCACTAATCAATTCGTATTTTGTATTCAATAATTTCTATTTTGCATTCATAATTTATATTTTGTATTCAATAACTTTGTATTTTGAATTCATAATTTATTATTTTGTATTCATAATTTTGGTTTTCATATTCATTCATTCGCCTCTTGCATTCATAATTTTTAATTTTGTAGTCAATAATTTGTATTTTGCATTCATTCATTTGTATTTTACATTCATCATTTTTAATTTTGTATTCAATAATTTGTATTTTGCATTAATAATTTGTATTTTGCATTAATAATTTTATTTTGCATTAATAATTTGTATTTTGCATTAATATTTTGTATTTTTCTCCTCCAAGCTGGTTCACGGGGAGACGCCCGGAGTTCACAGACCCCAGGGTGGTGGCACGGGGTGAAGGCCGGGAAGGTGAGTGATGGGTCCTGGCAGCTGCAGCTGGGTCCTGGCAGCTGCTGTTGGGTCCTGGCAGCTGCAGCTGGGTCCTGGCAGCTGCTGTTGGGTCCTGGCAGGTGCTGCTGGGTCCTGGCAGCTACTGCTGGGTCCTGGCAGCTGCTGGGGCTCCACAGCGAGCCCCAAACCCTCCTGTGACGGTTCCTCCCTCCCTGCCAGTGACCCGGGTGCGCTCCCAGGGCTTCGTCACCGTCACCTTCAACGTGATGACCAAAGACCTGCACAAGTTGGGCTACGACGTGGGCCAGGGGCCACAGGGGCTGCACCAGGCCTGAGCTCCTGGGGCCTGCCAGGGAAACTCCAAACAGCACCAGCCTCCAGGGGTTGGGGTTTGGAGTGTCCAACCCCAAACTCCAGCCTTGAGGATTTGGAGTTTGGAGTGTCCAACCCCAAACACCAACCCAGGAGGATTTGGAGTGTCCAACCCCAAACACCAACCCAGGAGGATTTGGAGTGTCCAACCCCAAACACCAACCCAGGAGGATTTGGAGTGTCCAACCCCAAACACCAACCCAGGAGGATTTGGAGTTTGGAGTGTTCTACTCTAAACAGCACCAGCCTCGAGGATTTGGAGTTTGGAGTGTCCAACCCCAAACACCAACCCAGGAGAATTTGGAGTGTCCAACCCCAAACACCAACCCAGGAGGATTTGGAGTGTCCAACCCCAAACACCAACCCAGGAGGATTTGGAGTGTGCACCTCCAAACACCAGCCCAGGAGGATTTGGAGTTTGGAGTGTCCAACCCCAAACACCAACCCAGGAGGATTTGGAGTGTCCAACCCCAAACTCCAGCCCAGGAGGATTTGGAGTGTCCAACCCCAAGCACCAACCCAGGAGGATTTGGAGTGTCCAACTCCAAACACCAACCCAGGAGGATTTGGAGTGTCCAACCCCAAACACCAGCCCAGGAAAATTTGGGATGATGTCCAAGCCTAATCCTGTCAGTAAGGTAGAAGTATTGTGGAAATTGATGTTATTGATAACATTCAGTGTTTTATGGGTCATTGTTGTATTTTATTCAGTGTTTTTAGGGGTTAGACTGTCTCAGAGTAAGGCCTGTAACAAAATATTTTTATAGCAGCCTTTTGTACACCTTTTTATAGAATTAATGACACAAAAGGTTCTGAGCTGTATTCGTTTCCCTGCAGTTAAAACTTTGCAAACCTAGTTTCTTCTTAGTGGCTATTTTTTTTTTTTTTTTGTGTTGCAAATGAGGAATTGAAATTATTGCAAAAACGGTCCTGTGAAATGCATCCCCTTCTAAGCTCTTCTAGGCTGAATAAACTGTGTTGTATCAATAAATTCATTTGTCTTTCTGCTGCTAAAGGGGTTTCTTTGTTTGTGCCAGGATGTTTTTAAGCCCTAAATCATCCAAGCTCTGCTAGGCTTAAAGGTAGAAGAGAAAAAGAAGTGTTTCAATGCAGTGACTAATTGCTGAGTCATTTTCCTGTTTAATTTTGGGCATGTTACCTCTTGTGTTTGACTGCAAATCCCAGGAGAACAACACCATCTCCCTAAAAGGGAACTACCAAGACCTCCAAGTGTAGAGATCCCAGGAAAAACACCCAGAGATGAACCACAGATCCTCCAGGACACAGCTCAACAAAACACCCAGGCAGAGATTGTTCTGATCCACTGTGGGATGGAATAAATTTAATTTCTGAAAATATAAAAGTGATCACTGGAACGTTGCTGGGAGCAACAGCACCTTTTAGCTGACCTAGAAATACTTCTCCAAACATTTTTAGGGGTAATTTTTCATCTCCTGCCTTGTTTTTGTTGACTCCACACTTCCAGTGGAGTTGTTTTGGTCATTTGTAATCTCTGAAGTGAGTCACGTTGCAGTCCAAATTCAGAAGCATTTCCTGTTGGCTCAGAGGAGACTTGAGGAATTTTGTTTCCTTTTCAGAAGTTTTGGAAGCAGGATAAATATTTTTGAAAGGCTTGGGAGGCAAACACTGCACCTCCTGCTGCTGCCTGAAGACCCATTTTCCCCTGGAGCACAGTTCCTGCCCACATTCCAACTGCAGCAGAGCTGGCACAGCCCAAACCTGGATTTATTCCCAGCCAGCTCCTCATCCCACTGCTCCAAACCCCTGAATTCCTCCTGTTCCAAAGGAGCTCTTGGGTTTCACCCCAGTGGCACCAACCAGACCTGAGCCAGCTTCCCCTGATAGCTGAGGGGAAGGGAGGTTAAAAATGAAAAGTAAAAAACCTAAACTCCATAAAACAGGATTAAAGAACCTTGAGGTATTTAAGCTGCCCTCTAAGCAGATCCCACACTGCTACCTGCATTGTTAGGGCTTTTTGCCTATTTTTTTCTGGGTTTAATTGGATTTTGGGGTGGTTTTGGGCTCCTCAATGGCTTGAGCACATCTTAAGAGCTTCATTTACCTTCCTCAGGGGTTGGGCAAGTTTCCATGAGGTTCCTGTGAGTTAGAGATAAAGTAGTATGTACTTTTAGTATCCTCCTTTTATATAGTATATTAATGTATTTTAGCACAGTTATAATAAAGAAATAATTCAGCCTTCTGAATTGAGTCAGACATCGTCATTCCTTCCCATTGGGCTCACCTGCATTTACAATAGAAAGGCTTTGGATTCACTCCATGGGAGTTTTCCTGCTGTTACCCGGGGAGGGGACAGCCAAGGACAGGGACTGAACAGCAGCTTGGGGATCAAACCCTCCAGAAAAAGGAAAATAATTCGGATAATCCTTAGGAATTGCTATTTACCGCCTTTCCTACCGAGCAGCAGCAGCAGCAGCTCCTGCCCTCTCGTGGCTGCTCCCAACCTTTAGGGAAGCGCTGGAAGTGATTAACAACAATTAACTCCGGGGCTGAATGAAGAATTCCGAGTTTTTCCCGTTCCTCCGTGGCAGTCGCTCCGTGCTGGCTGCCCTGGCACTGCCCCTTGTCCCCGGAGCAGGGGGCAAACACCTCCCGGGGCTGAGCCAGGGGTCTGAGCATCCACCAGAGGCTGCCAGGTTGCTTTTCACCAGCTGGGAATGATCTCCCTCTGAAAAGGAGATGGATTCAAGCTGACAGCAGCTTCTCCCCAGCAGCAGTGGCGGGTTGGGAGCAGGAGAGCTGTGAAAAAAAAAGAATAGGAAAAAAATCAAACACTCAAGCACAGAGCAGCCACGTTTGAAGAAAATTGGGGATTTAGTTCCAGTTCTTGACAGGTTTGTGGTGTTTCCTTCCCATTTGTGCCACTGGAGATTTGGGGGGATAAAGGCCCTGGATCCGTGCTGGACATGGCTCTGGGGGGTCCCAGGGCAGTGGGGCAGAGCCAGGCTGGCACCCCCAGCGTGGAGCAGTTCCTGGGACCCCCAGACTGGGACCAGCCGGAGCCCCCAGCCCTGGGACCCCCACCTGGGCCTCTCCCCTTGGGGCTGGCAGCCCCAGCAGCAGCTGGATGGGCTGGTGGCCCTGGAGAAGCCACCCAGGACATCTCCAGGGGGTCCCTCAGACCTGAGCCCCCCCTGAGGGCACTGAGGACCCCCCAGCAGCCAGCCCAGCTCCGGCCACTCCTGAGCAGCACATCTGGAGCAGCCACCAACTCCAGCCTGGGACGTTCTCCAGGCCATGCCACCCCCAGCAGGGTGGGCAAAAGCCACCCTGGGGCCACCCTGTCCCCTCTCAACACCCACCCCCGGGGGCAGAGGGGATCCCTGAGGAATTTTGCCACCAGCTGAGGAGTCCTCTGGGAGGCAAAGTGGGGGAGCTCAAGCCCCAAGCTCTGAGACACTCGTGGGTATTTGCAAACCCGGGAGCCACTTTTGGAAGCAAAAATTCCCAAACCTGCAGCTCCCACCTGAGTGCAGAGCTGCCTCCAGTGGGGCTGGGAGCACAGGACAGCACAAATCCCTCAGAACCCCTCCTTTGGGCTGGGATTTTGGGCTCCTGTGGGATGGGAAGCAGGGCTGAGCCCCCGGGAGGGAGGGAGGGAACAACACGAGCTGCATTCCCAGCAGGATCTGAGGGATCCAACCTCGTCCTTCAGAGGGAAGAGCAGCAGACACACAGAACTGCTGAAAGTGTCTATTTTTGGCTCCCTATTCAGGCCAGGATATTTAAGTACCCAAATTCACCTCAGAGAATATCATCACTCCACTTAGTGCCAGACTTGCTGATGAAGATATTAAAAAAATCAGAAAAAATCTCCTCCACCATCACCCAACACAACCCCAGGCAGCCCACGGACTCCAGGGCTGCTACAGCACAGCTGAGCTGCCTCCCTGGAGCTTGGAAAATCCATGGATTCCATTCCATGGCCACAAAAAGCACCTTAGGAAGGAGGCAGACCTGATCTGCACAGGCTCTAGGGGAAGAAGGACACGAAGGTGTCTGATGATTTTCCATCACAGGCGTTACTCGAGGTGGTTCAGCCACGGTGCTGGGGAGAATTCCAGGAGGGCTGGGGAGGTTTGGGATGGACAGCAGGGTTTGGGATGGATGGGTGGGATCAGGATGGATGGGTGGGATTGGGAGGAGGATTTGGGATGGAGGGTGGGATCGGGATGGACGGGTGGGATCGGGAGGAGGATTTGGGGTGGATGGGTGGGATTGGGATGGATGGGTGGGATCAGGAAGGTTTGGGATGGATGGGTGGGTTTGGGATGGATGGGTGGGATCAGGATGGATGGGTGGGATCGGGAGGAGGATTTGGGGTGGATGGGTGGAATTGGGAGGAGGATTTGGGATGGATGGGTGGGATTGGGATGGATGTGTGGGATCAGGAAGGTTTGGGATGGATGGGAGGGTTTGGGATGGATGGGTGGAATCGGGAGGAGGATTTGGGATGGATGAGTGGGATCGGGAGGAGGGTTAGGAATGGATGGGTGGGATCAGCCCACGCCAGGTCAGGGATGGGGGTGGATTCACCCAGGGCTCCTTTCCACAGGGAAATCCCAGGTCTCTGCTCCACACCATCCCCCTGGCTCGGGTGTTGCTCTGAGCCAACCTCAGCAGCTCCGCTGGTCAAACAGGGCAGGAGCTGGGATGCCATTCCTGCCTGGGAGGGTCCCAGCCGTGTCCCAGCAGGTTTCCTGCCGGGAAGCAGCAGGCAGGGAGCTGGGAAGACAAACTCCACCTCTGCTCTGCCTTTATCCTGGTGGTTTGAGGTGTCATTGATTTCCCTTCACCTGAAATGGGAACGCCTTTGCTCCACAAGTGGCAGGAGCAGCTCGGGCAGAGCGATGTGAGCTGGCCTGAGAGGACATGGGGAATGGCTTCCCACTGCCAGAGGGCAGGGTTAGACGGGATTTTGGGAATAGATTCCTCTCTGTGAGGTTGAGGCCCTGGCACAGATTCCCAGAGAAGCTGTGGCTGCCCCTGGATCCCTGGAAGTGTCCAAGGCCAGGTTGGACAGGGCTGGGAGAAGCCTGGGACAGTGGAAGGTGTCCCTGCCCATGGGGACATTTGTGGGATTTTATTTAATCTCTCAGGGAGGTATTTCCCAAAACCGTGAGTGTCCCACTACTCAGTCCGGGTCTGGGACAGCTCTGGGTTCTCCCTGCACTGTGGGAGTCCAGGAATTCCCTCTGGCTGCCCTGGGACCCTGGCAGGGGTCAGGAACCCCCCTGGACAGAGCCCCCAGAGACACTGGCTGTGATCTCTGGCCATGGAAAAGAGTTTTCAATCTTACAGGATCAATTACCAGCTCTGAGTGTTTGATATCAGTAATAATTAAGTGTGGCACGGGTGCAAAAGTAAAATTTTAGGATTCTAGATGAGGGGTCCAAAGGGACAAGATGGAGGAAATTGGGTGTGTCTTGTCCTTTTTCTCCTTCTTCATGCCCTCCGTGTTTCACTGCGGTGTTGGCATTTTTCTGTTGGTTCAGGATGGGGACACACTGTCCAAAGTAGGTGACAGATATTGGCACGTTATTGTAAATCCAGCACAGGGAGTTTCTGGTATTTAATGTTTGTACCATCCCACTGAGGGCAGAGCCCCACACGCTGCCCTGCAGGACAGAGCTGCGGCAGGGCAGCAGAACATGTTAGAGATAAACAGAATAAACAACCTTGAAACAGCACAGACCAATTATGGCTTCTGCTTTGGCAGCGGGGCTGACAGACAGAGACTTTCTACAATCTCGGGATCATCAATACCACAGATTCCGACACTGCATAGCCCCAGGATGGGCTGTGTCCCCCCAGGGTACCCCCACGTTCCTCATTTATCTCCTCCCAATTCCCTGTGGATCACCAGACCTGCCAATGAACCTCCCTGGCACCAAGGGGAACTTCCAACCCCTCGGCTTCAACAATGACAGGGTACAATCGACAAACCAGAACTGCCACCACCACATCCCACACGGCTCTCCGCCATTCCCCATCCCGAGCTCCCAAACAAACAGGAGTCCTCAGGAAATCCAACTCATAAGTGGGGAAAGGTGACCTTTCCAGTTAACTTGAAAAACGTGGGAGTTTTGAACGTGAGGGGTTCATAAGTCCTGCTGGCTCCCCGAAATGCAGCTTGCAGGGTGCTGCAGAGCCGTGCCAAAGCCAGAGCACAGATGGGCTCAGCCCTCTCCCCACAGCTCCACCAAGAGCAGCAGAAGGGGCAGAGCTGCAGCCTCAGCCCAGCACAAAGAGGCAACACAAACCTCAGCAAAATCCTCGGCAGCAGCGGCGTGGGCGAGGGGAAGCCAAGAGGTAAATCCTTATCCAGAGGCCTCTTCCTCTGCAGGGCGGGCAAATCCTCCTCACTCCTCTGCAGAGGAAGAGGAAAAGGAAATGTGGGATGGGGGAGCAGCTCTGCAAGCTCAGCAGAAAGCTCCACCACGGGCACAGCTCTGCTCAGCACGGGCTGGGGCAGCTCAGGCTCCCCGGGCTCACACAGCCACCAGAACCCACCAGAACCCATCAAAACCCACCAGAACCCACCAGAACCCATCAAAACCCACCAGAATCCACCAGAACCCACCAAAACCCACCAGAACCCACCAGAACCCATCAAAATCCACCAGAACTCACCAGAACCCTTCAAAATCCACCAGAACCCATCAAAATCCACCAGAACCCTTCAAAATCCACCAGAACCCACCAGAACCCATCAAAATCCACCAGAACCCTTCAAAATCCACCAGAACCTATCAAAACCCACCAAAACCCATCAAAATCCACCAGAACCCTTCAAAATCCACCAAAACCCTTCAAAACCCACCAGAATCCATCAAAACCCACCAGAACCCTTCAAAATCCACCAAAATCCACCAGAACCCATCAAAACCCACCAGAACCCATCAAAATCCACCACAACCCTTCAAAATCCACCAAACCCCACCAGAACCCACCAAAACCCAGCAGAACTCCCCAGAATCCACCTCCTCTGGAAGAGATCAGCCACCACAGCTTCCAGCCCGAGCCACTCTTCCCCACAGTGAGGAGGTTCCGCTGCCAACGCGCAGCTCCAAGAGGCAGAATCAGAATCCCAGAAGGGTTTGGGTTGGAGGGACATTAAAGCCCGTCCACTTCCAAGCCCAGCACCTCACCCTGTCCCAGCTGCTCCAAGCCCTGCCCAGCCTGGCCTTGGACATTCCCAGGGATCCAGGGGCAGCCTCAGCTTCTCCAGGGACACTGGAGCATTCCTGGGGTTCCAGCAGCTGACACCAAACCAGACTTTTCTCCCCAAAGCCGCCTTCCCACAGCCACATCTCCAGCATTAATTAGTGATCATTGATTAGTGATCAGCCTGATTGGCAGCAAACGAAGCAGGGAGGCTGGAGGGGCTGTGGAGAGGCAGCTCCTGCTAATGAAGTGCTCTTTAATTAAGGGAGGAGAGCCTGGCTGGCTCCCAGGCTGGAAGCAGGAGCCTGCTGCCATGGGATCCGTGCCACAGAGCTACAGAAGTGGGGATTGAGGAGCCCCCAGCTCCTGTCCCAGCTCCCCAACCCTCCTGCCACAGCCACTGTCCCCAAATTCCCGCCTGGACACAAATCCAGAGCCTCCAGGGAGCTCCGAGCTCCCTCCACGGGGGCTGTTCAGGGGCAGCGTGGTTAAAAGAAGGAATTCAGTCACCTGCAACACAACAAATCTGCGTTTTTATTGAGTCACTGAGGTCTCAGCTGAGCCTGATTTCAGGGAGCCATAGAAACCCTCCTCTCAGCCTGGGAAAAGTCATGGATGCACCAAGGAACCCACAGCATCCCTCAATCCTCCTGCCACAAACCTTCCACCAGCTCACCCCAAACCCACCCTGCAAAGCTCCACCAAGCAGGGCCTGGGGGGCAATGGGAGGACAAACACCACACAGAAACCTGGAAAAAGCAACACAGCTGGAATAGAAGCAATACAATTTTAATTCTGACCAGTCACCTCCAAACCCCTCGTCTTTCCACTGTTCTGATGGCATTTTTAAGTATCACATCTGTGACATTGCTGGGGGGGGGGGAGAAAAAAAAAATGACACAAAGATACAGACATTATGATACAATAGTACAAATGATAAATTATTTATACAGTAAATAATGGCAATAGTCAGCACAAATCCAGAAAAAGCAGCTGGCTCCCAGGGTTATGAGCAGTTTGGGAAATATTGGAATACTTGGAGAGGAAGAGTTGTGTGAGATTCTGCTGGGAAAAAGAAATCTCCTCTTTTCTCCCCACCTGTGCAATATTCAGGCATAGAGAACACACCTCGAGCTGGAACAGCAAAGGGGCACAAGGGGAACAGGAGCTGCCTTGGCTACAGGACCTCCCAAAAACTGTAAACACCACAACCCACCAGGGCTTCCCTTCCCTGCCCCTCCACAGAGCTGAGCTTCTCTTGAGCATAAAACTGAATAAATAACTGAGCTTATTTAGGGGGAAATTATGCCAAGGAGTCTGTGTGTGTGTGTGTGTTTGTATGTGTAACTTTTTTTTTTTTTTTTTAATAAGATATTTAACACTTTTCTCTTTGGTCAATTTGACCAGTAATGATATTTTGGGCTACTGATGTTTTTAAAAATCAAAAAGGGGAAAAAAAAACCAAAAAACACTTTGAATATTTGCAAAGTGAGAAAAAGAAGGAGACGAGGGGGAAATGGAGAAAAGGGGCAGAGGGGATGTGATAGAGCACACAAATATCCTCCAGAAATGTGGAGGGCCAGGAGGGAGGGAGGATTATCCTGCAGAGGAGGAAAATCATCACAAAATGTGCTGGACCCTTCAGAGCATCCCCAGGCAGGACAGTGACTCCCCTGTGTCACCCCCTGGGGACACAGCCCAGCCCAGGAACATTTACCAAACCAGCTCTTTCTCCTCCCAAACTCAGCTCCTGCCACAAGCCCCATGCCAGGCTGGGATCTGGGCTTGGTTAGTCTCAGCCTAAAGATTTCCAGCAGCAGAATTTGGGCTGTGGCTCCTCAGAGAGCCTCCTTTGGGTTTGTTGTGCCATTAATATCTATTACTATAAAAGGGATAAAGTTCTGGGGGCAGTGACTTAGGAGGAAAAACAACAATTTGCCATTCAACAGCTTCATTAAGGCAGGGCTCCCTCCCAGAGCAAATTTACAGTGGCAGCTCCAACTGCAGATTATTTCAGCACTTTAAATATTTCTTATCAACCTCATCTTGCCTCTAGAAAGTTCCCCAGGACTCTTGGCTGGGCAGGCAATGCCCCAGCCCACTGCAGCTCAGGGGACAAAGGGACAAACCCCGAGTGACCTTAATTCCAGTGCTGGTCAAATCCAGCTGGGAAAACAACCCGGGAGGAATCTTGTCACAGATCAGCTGGAAAAAAGCACCTTCCCCCCCATCTGCAAGAATCACACCCTTCCTGCTCTGCACTTCCCAACAGCTTCAACAACAACAGAAAAAGTCTTTTTTCTTTGCTCTGAAAGGCAACAGGAATGGGGTTTGGTTTTGTTTTTAAAGGCAGGCTGGGTGTGGACAGCAATCCTCTTCCCTCCTCTATAAAAACAAGGATTGGGAATGCTCCTTGCCAGTTCCAGAGGATCCCAGAGGATCCCAAATCTGCACAGGAACATCCACAGGAACACTGAGCATTCCATGCACTACCAGAGCTACCCTGACCTGCACAGCTCCAGTCTGGGCTGGTCCCTAAATCTGATCATCCTTCAGCCTCCCCTTCCCACCAGGAGATGGATCCCAGTCCTTCCTTCCATGGGATCACTCCCTCCATGGGATTCACTCCTTCCTTCCATGGGATCACTCCCTCCATGGGATTCACTCCTTCCTTCCATGGGATCACTCCCTCCATGGGATCACTCCCTCCATGGGATCACTCCCTCCATGGGATCACTCCTTCCATGGGATCACTCCCTCCATGGGATCACTCCCTCCATGGGATCACTCCTTCCATGGGATCACTCCTTCCATGGGATCACTCCCTCCATGGGATCACTCCCTCCATGGGATCACTCCCTCCATGGGATCACTCCTTCCATGGGATCCAGCCCCTCTCCAGCCCCACAGGGAATTGTTCCACCACAACACAACTCTGGAAAATTCTGTTTTCCCCCCTCTTAAATTAAGGAAAGGCCACCAAGTCCGTTCAGAGGTGCCCTGCAGGCAGGAAAAATCCCTTCCCATGGATTTTTGGGAGAGGCTGGGGCTCCAGCAGAACCCCTGAGCGTGGTGAGGAGTCCAGACATGAAAATTCATTTAAAAGGGATCATTCAGCTCCCAAGGGATGGCTGGACATGGAAGCAGTTATCCCAGGGAGTGCACCTTCCAACAGGAAAAATCAGTGGATAGAATTAACCAAGTTCTGTTTGTACATCAGGATTTTTAACAGCTCCACAAGTTTTACAAGGAAAATAAAACCAAACAGCCTCTCCTGGGATTTCATCAAGGCTAAAAGTCTGTCCAGTCTGGGGATTGGGAAATGGGAACAAATCAAGGGAAAGGCGACTTTAGTGTTTTTTCTTTTTAATGTAGTCTTAAATCATGTTATGCTCAAATTCAATTCATCTAAAAATAATTAGTCACGAGGATTTGTTTTTGATTTGCATTATGAATACTTCATTTAAAAGTAAATATTTTAGTGTTAATCTTCCCTTTTAAACTCTCTTTACAGAAACAAAGAGCGAAAACCATAAATAAGAGGGCATTAAAACCATAAAAATGACATTTGCCAATATCTTAATTTTTCAGCCAGACTTGATAAATCTATCAAAACCAGACAGTTAAATAAGAACCACATTATAAAAATTAGCAAAAAAAAGGACTATTAGGTAACTCTGCAAACTCAAAATATGAAACTGTACTAAACAAAATATGTGCAAAAGTATACAAGAGTAACTGCATATAGCAAGGTTAAGCCTGAATTAGTTTTAAAGCTTGCCCCGGTGAAACTGAATTCAAAGTTGTCCCACTGTATCTCTCTTTTTTTTGCCTTTTCTTTGTTTTTTCCTTTTTTTTTTCTTTCAACTCACATTGTAAGTCAAATAAAAACAAAATACGCATGAAAAAACTTCCAAACGAAGCTGGTACTGGACAAGCACAGAGCAGGACACTCACTCAGCACGAGTGCAGCCACTCACAGAGTTCCAGGAGTCCTTAGAGTAGTGTAGGATTCAACACTGCACACGACAGCACAACTCGAGCATGGTCTTGGGTGTTTTGTCTGGGGTTTTGTGTTATTTTCCTTTCGAGACAAGCTTGCTGTTGTCAGTCACACCTCAGAGATACCAAAGCAGTGCGAGTTTGCAATGTTTAATGCATAAAAACCAAGCCCCCCTGGGCCCTCCGGGTCGGTCTCTTCTAAGAGTAAGGACTATGGGTGAACCAACAGTCTAGAGCTGTGTGTAGTTATGTGCAAAACATTCACTAGCACTCGGAACCTCAGGTCTATCTCACGGGCAGAGGAAGTGACAGATGCAGGGAAGAGTAACTTCAGGAATCCAGCACATGATCTGACATCTACAAAATAGCCAAGGGAGTTTTCCAGTGGCGGGTTTTCTCCCTAGAAAGTGTGTTTGAAATGATTAACAAAGTAACAAAAATGGGCAGAATCTAACTTTGGTGAAAAGTCTGAACATTTCACATGATGCTCAACAAGCCAAAGTAAGGTACCATCTGTAGCAAAGACTAGATTTAGATTAACTGGTAAGTAGAGACAACTCTTCAAAGATCATAACTGTAAACTGCAAATCTACTTCCAAGTCTCTCACACACCGTTCAGTCCACACAGGCCACGTTCGTTTCGCTGGAAAGACTTCAGCCTGGAAACACTAAGAAAAGAAAAGTTCCTTTAATTGGGTCTTTATAGGAGGAAAGGGTTAGTTGTATTTGCAGCCTGGGAGGCTGCTGGCGGCATTCCTGTACTGTGCAGAGCTTGGGGCATTGATCCTGCAATGCTCAGCCCCTGGCCCATCCGGATGGTGCCCATGGCCGGCAGCGGTGCCATGCCCACGGGCACGGGGGCCATGGAAGACAGAGGTATTGGCTCCATGCTCAGCGGGGGCACGGCGCTGAAGGAGGGGCTGCTGCCCAGCACGGGACTCGCCCTCATCTGGTTCAGGGTCAGAGGCTGAGGCTGGTTCACCTGGAAGGGGTTGATTGGAGTCGCTGCAGTCGCGGCACCTGCGGGGCAGAGAAGGGGCAGTGAGGCACTGCTGGCAGCACCAGGGGCTGCCAACATCCGTCCTGGCAAGGAACCCACACCCAAAACACCCTGTGGAGCAGCTGAGCTCAGGGTGTTCCCTGCAAGCAGCCACTGCCTCCAACACCCCTATTGGAAATGCAGGCAAACCTGATGGGAAGGAATGACCATGTCTGACTCAATTCAGAAGGCTGAATTATTTCTTTATTATAACTATGCTAAAATACATTAATATACCATATAAAGGAGGATACTAAAACAACATACTACTTTCTCTGACTCTAACACAACTTGTGACCCTCTCTGAGAGCCCAGCCCCAGGTGGGTTGGGTTGGATTGGATTGCATTGGATTGGATTGGATTGGATTGGGTTGGATTGGATTGCATTGGATTGAATTGGGTTGGATTGGGTTGGATTGGATTGCATTGGATTGAATTGGGTTGGATTGGGTTGGGTTGGATTGGGTTGGATTGGATTGGATTGGCCACCAGGCTCAAACAATCCTCACCAGAATCCAACCAAGCAATCACCCCAGGGAAACAATTCTCCAAACATATTCCACGTGGGAAAAACAAGGAGCAGAAATAGAAATTGGTTTTTTCTTTCATTTCTCTCTGTGCACCTCTATGAAAAATCCTGAGAGGGAGAGAAATGTGCTTGCCACACACCCCTTCACTGACCCACAGCTCCCACCTCTGACTGGAGTCACAGGTTCCAAATTTGGTTACCTGCAAAAGGCCTAACCGCATCCACATCACTGATTTAATTTTTATATTCTACTTTGCGAGCTCTCTATGCTCCTTTACTGCAAACAGTGAGTTCACATCAGATATTGGGGAGAAATCCTTCCCTAGGAGGGTGGGCAGGCCCTGGCACAGATTCCTACAGAAGCTGTGGCCGCCCCTGGGTCCCTGGAAGTGTCCAAGGCCAGGCTGGATGGAGCTTGGAGCAGCCTGGGATAGTGGAAGGTGTCCCTGCTCATGGCAGGGATGTTTCTTAAGGTCCCTTCCAAACCATGCTGGGCTTCTGTGATTTGTGTGTTTGCTCCAAGCTCCCAGCAGCCACCTCCATTTTCGTGTTTCTGGCACCGAGCTCGGACAAGAATTCCCAAAGTAAACAACTTGTTTCCGAATTACAGCGGTGCTCAGAAAAGCAGAGCACAACTTTCCCAGCCTCTGAGGTTCCCTGGATTGCTGCCAGCCCTGAAAATTCCTTTTAGTGTACAAGCCCAGGATTATTTGGATGGCCCAGTGACCCCTCACAAACTTTTTGTAGTACCCGGGAAGGGCAGATACACAGATTTCCTCTCTCTCCCTGCTCACTGCCAAGGCTGCTCAGAATCACTGCTTTTTTCCTACTCAGGGATTTTAATAAATTGACTTTTTCTTCCATTGGAAGAGTGATGAAAATAAATACTGAAAGAGCATTTCCAAGTTTCACCCTATGAGCAACACAGGAAAATATCAGTGCAAATTCAGCTTTTAAAAAACACATCTGCCACATGTTTGGTGTCACCATTTCAGTCTGCTCCAAGCAAAGGCTCACTTCTAACAGGCTCAGCTTGCAGGAGAACTGCAACAGCCAATTTTTTTTCCACAATACACTGAGAATGTGTTTTCAGATCAAAACTGGCTCACTGTGCCAACCTAAGACAGACTAAGCAGCAGCTCACTGAATTACCCTGCAGAGTTTGCTCTCGGGGACCTCAGGCTCCAGTCAGAGATCTCCTGTGCCTGCTGCAGCTCCAGGAAAAGGGAAATTCCAACCTTCTTCCACAGGAAACTCCTACCTGTTACCTTCCCAAGGCAATCTCACCTGTTTTGACAAAATGCAGCTGAAGTTCAGCCATTTTCAACAAGGCCAAACCTAACACAGATAATTCTGTGTGAGGGGAACTGCTGGAATGAAGTTCAGCTGCAGAGCAGGAGCAGAGACTTTGTGTTTTCAGGGACTGTCACTGTGCTGGGTGAGCCCAGGACACCTCCCTGAGACCCTCCTGCTTTTGCTCACTATCTCCTGGCTGAAGTACCCAACAAAACCAAACCCAAATCACCCATCTTTAACCCCACCAGCACTGAGCTGTGCAGAGTTTTCCTGCAGGAAGGGAAAGCTCAAACAGAAACGTGGAGGACTGCGCAGAAACCAACCTGGTGCCAAGAATGGGTTCAGAGAAGTAACAGGTTGTGGTGGCTTAGACACCAGAGAATCCAGGTTCACCAGGGCAGCGTTGGGGCCCAGGAAGGACTCCGGGGTTTTCCGGGCCGTGCTCTGTTTGCCTGATGTCCCACTCGAGTGCTGGGACTCAAAGAGATCAGGACTCGTGGTACCACTGTGCTGAGAGGGCAGAGTGGAACCTGATTCAGCTGCAACAACACAAAGGGACAAAGAGAAGTCCTGGTTAATGCACAGAGCTGGGCAGAGAGAAGCCAGCGGCGTGTGAGAGCAGAGATGCTTTATGCTAAGTTTGTGTTAGTCAGGGCTCAGTGTTTCAGGCTGTTACACCCTCTCAGCATGCAAGCAGGTCAACGTCCTTTAGCAGAGCGTGAAGAAGCTACAGTCAGAGTTGCAGTGCTCTACTGATGGAATTCCCACAGCTTTGCTGCTCCAGGTGGGACTCACAGGCTCCAAGGAACAGATACTCCACAGCCTTGGCTTGTGCCCTGGCCCTACACCACTGCTGTGCCCTTCCTAGCTGGATTCCAGCCAGGGCTTCCTTCTCAAAAAGCCCAGCTGTGCTTCAGGCAGAACCATCCTGAGAGCAAAGGTACCACAGCACTGACAGGGTCTGGCTGTTTGATTTACTGACCATTGACCGGAGGAAAAATAAATTAAGAGCAATCATAGAAGGTACTTTCTCATCTTCCTGCTGGAATTTACACATTTGAAAGATTCAGTCAGCATGGTTCTGGTTGAGTCTCTGAGCATAAGCCCTGCTGCAAACATGCTGGACATTGGAAATTAGGAAGTCCAACAAATTTCTGGGTCAATGCAGCAAAAGGTCACAGGGTGCAATTCCACGAATTACAAAAGGCCCATTCCCCACGAGTTCATGCACAGGCCAAAATGTGAACAAGGAGCTGTTACTGCTGCATCATCACTTCCTTCCCTTTGTGAAAACTGATTTTTTTGATCAGTAAAATTTAAGATCAGAGACATTTGTTGCCGTGACTGTCACCCAACCTGTCCACATGCTAAGAATTTGATTCGTACCTGGCTTTTTGGAAGTTCGAAGTGTGTCAAATTCAGAAAAATCATCTTTAACTGTACCATTCAAATTACTGAAGAGGTCAAAAGATGTACTTCCTGTTCAAAACAACAAGACAGCCCTGTCATTAACACATCTTCGGTTGCATCACACAGCTGATCCTCCTGGAAGCAATTCCTAACCCATTCCTGTCACCAAGAAGCCACCACAGGTTCCAGGGCAGCAGCTGGGAGTGCTCCTACTCTGAGCTGGCAGAAAGAAAATGTCACAGAATTGTCCTTTCTGGCAGCATGGAACAACTACATCAGGGCAGTTTGCTTTTGGATCAGTGCAGGGCACACCTGAGCACGCTGGGGTTTGCTTGACTGAGTGTCTGCATTAGAGACAAGCACATCTTGCTGTGGAAGGAGAGAACAGAAATGGATTTACAGCCTCTGCTATCAAGTGTTAATCAGCCCTCAAGGAAAACACCACCAGTGATGATTTAATTTCTGTTTCCCAAGTGGAAAGGAGGAGGAATGCCAGAGCAAAGGTTGTGGAGATGGCAAAGCACCAGCTGAAGCACCAGCACTCACCCAGAGTTTGCAATCAATGAAACATCACCATTTCCAAAGGTGGACACACTCTTACCTCAGATTGGAGGCACAAAACACCACCTACATGATCAGCAATCACACTCCTGAACAGCTTTAAGGTTTGTGTGGGTATTTTTAATTAGCTGAAATGTTTTCTTAGTTTACTTTTAACCTTCAACACATTTCAAGCAAAAAGAGCTCAAGATGACAAACCCCAAGAGAAGGAGTGAAAATTGAATATATAAACAATATCTATCAAGAACAAAGAGTCACCATAACTAAATACTAATTTCACAATGCTCCAGTTATTACCCGTTGCCCAGGAAAAAGCAGCTTAGACAACTTTTTGCAGCACTCAGATTCCTTTGTCTGCTGTGTACAGGGATGAATGCTGAGCAGAAAATGCACTTTGGATGCTTTTAGCCACGGTGCCAATATGAAAATGCCAGGTATTAACACTCATCAAGATTGTATTAGTTACAAAGCACGAACAGACAATCACAGCAGCACCTTCTGCATCTTTACCAGGGCTCAGGGAGGGTTTCACACCCTCAGTCTGAAGGAACAAACCTTCATTTGCACCTCTAAAAGTTTCCTCCGAGCTGCTCAACCTGTCAATCTACATCTGCAGAGGCATCCATCTGCAGAGCTATTTATCATGAGGAAAGGTGAAATTAAGAGTATCAGTCATTGCCAGAAATGAAGTCCTTGTCTAATTAAAGATAAAACCCAAGAGCAGCAGCAGTCCCAAGTGCTCAGCAGGCAGCCACAAATACCAGGAGGAGCACGAAGCAGCACCACTAATTCGGAGCTGCAAGACGAATAATTACATTTACATTTCTTTTTCCTGCTGGTTATTACCAAGTCCCTTTTATTGTGAAGACCAATTCTGCCAATTGTCCAGCTTCTTTGAACCACACAATGCAAGAAAACCATTTGGACTTCTCCTCATTACTCAAATAAGGTGGATATGGGATGAGAATATTGCTCACCAGAAGTAGAGAGAGGTTTGTTTGCAGGTGCTGATCCCCAAGGATCCACAGAAGATTTTGCTGCAGTAGAAGATGGCTGAGCAGGAGCCCAAGGATCCACATTTTTGGCCACAGGCTGAGCTGTGGATCCTGCTGGTGCTGCCCAAGGGTCAACAGAAGCAGCTGGTTTGGCACCTGCAAGAAGAATCAGCAGGAAGTGAAGTCAGTGCAGGTTCCCTTTGGAAAGCTTTCCTTGGAGACTGACCCCTCCCAGGAGCCTTTCATCCTAATTAACACTGAGCATTAATGGGAGCAGCAGCTCTGCACAGCCACTCCCAGCATTTGTCACACTCTGACCAACAACAGCACCAGGACATTCTGGGCAAGGCAGAGGAATAAATAACTCCCCTCTCTCAACCTGGATGCAAATAGCTGCTGTTCCAACAAGAAAATAAACTTGCCTTTGTTCCTGACACTGCCACCACAAGTGACAGTCCCTGGCTGGAGGTGACCTGAATCACAGGCTCTATTTATGTGCTCAGGGGAAAGTGAGTTTATAAAAAGCCCAAAGGTAAAAGGTGTGAGATACACAACATTAACCCTTGGACAAAGGAATCTGTACGATTCAGAGGGAATGTTTTCCAACTCTTTTAACCACACTGCTGTTTTATAAAAATATAATCAGCTCCCCTGAGCCAGCTGTGCTTTTTTATTCCCATTTCTAAGCACTCCTGACACACGTCTAAGCTGCCCACTGATAGCCCTTTATTACTTTTAATCCAATGCCTGTATGTTCAGGGTTGTCATTTTTACTGGAAGATGCTGACAACTCTTCATTCCTACAAATTCAATAATCAAAGGTTTAATTCCCAAATGAGGATTTTATAACCCAGGAGAGCAGGACAGAATCACCCACACGCAACAACTCTTACCTTCAATATCCTGCAGGTTTCAAATTACAACTGAAAATTATTTTAGCTTTTAAAACTCCATTCAACTCCCCTGGCATCCCAATATTCCTGTAAAACAGGAATGTTGCACACAGTGGCACAAATTCCAGCTGGAATTTTGGGTTTTGTTTCATCAGCAGGCATGTGGTCGCTACAGCTCTGGAGCAGGAAATGCCAAAACTCTCCAGGGAAGCCCCATGATTCCCACACCAGTACTCCCATTTCCTTTATCTGCCCCCAGTGCTGAGTTAGGAGCAGTGCCACACTAATGACAGCATTTCCCATCACCAGCAGCTTCCCAAAATGTCCTTTCTTCCCTAAAAAGAGCACTCAAAATGAGAGTGCTCAGGAAAATCCCTTCCCAGAGCTTCCATCAGCTCCCCTGGAACACCACAGCACTGGCAGGATTTGGGAAATGCAGTTTCATGAGTCATTTTTTTTACCAGCAAATTCATAAACTTGCATCTTTGAGACTATCCCTGGGAGAATCCAGCAGGCTGGAATGCTGGGAAGCACTGAGGAAATGCTGTGGCTGGAATTGGTACAAGGAAAATCCTGTCAGAGGGTGACACATCAGGCTGGAGATTTGAGCAAAGTGGATTTTGGTTGCTTGTAGCCATGGAAAAATAAACTGAATGGCCTCAGGGCCCAAAATCTGGGCTTTTTCCCAGTTCCTATCACCAAATAAAAGCAGGTGACGCTTGGAATGATCACCTGGCAGTTGGCCCAGGAGCTTTGTAGGTGCCCTTAATGCCATCAAAAATCCCTAAACAAGACATTTCATTATTAAACTTCCAATTTTTCATCAGGAATCTGATGGTGGTGTGTGGATTGCAAATGACTTGGAAACATTTCAGAGCAGAGTTGTAGAATCACCAGCCCGAAGCAGAACTGACAGAACAAAGCTGTCAATCTTCATGGAAAACTTCATCAAGATTTGCACAGAAGCTCACTGCCCTTTAAAAAAGTCAAAAATTCCAACAAAAAAATAGATCCAGTTCCAAGTGTTACACTGTGAGAAACCATCCACTGTCTTTCAAAGGAGTAATTCCTTGGACAGGCTGTGGCTGACCCAGACATCAGCCCACCATACAGGCAGCAAAACACACAGAGAAAAAAAAAACACACAAAAATTTGGCTTAATTGCTCTTTAAAATGTGAAATACTGCACCTTTCCCTTCAGAAATATTCCAAGGATTTAGCACTGAAAGCCTATGGAACACTAAGTATTTTAAAAGGCAACCTGCATGCTTTTGTCTGCTATAAAAATCTTATTTTAAGTTAATTTAATCATTTTGGTTCTGACCATACACAAGCACATCACAATTCTCCAGGAGCAACTAAGGACTGATAATTCACAGTGATGGCCTTCCTAAGCTCAGCACCCTGCCTAAATATCAGATTTAATTCTGGGAATAGTCTAAACCCATGGCACAGGACACAACCAGCAGGGAGACACGAGTTGGACAAGTTGGTTGTAAAGACAACAGAAGTGCCACTCTCCTCTTCCTCAGGATTCAAACAGCACACACAGAAACCCAACTGCTTAAAAAAAAAATGCAACTGACACTGGTTTCTGCTTGGAAATGAGGAATTTAGTGAAATGAATGAAAATGGACTCATACAGAAGCTGGACATCGAGGAATTTTGAAATGCTCAAGGTTAAAAAGCAAAACCTTGAAAATGCCAGTGCTGCTGGCAGTCTGCTCTTACCAAATGATTGCCAGGGGTCAGAGGCAGGGGCTGCAGCTGTGGATCCTCCCCAGGGATCCGTCTGGTTGGCAGCAGCAGCAGGAGGTCCCCAGGGCTCGGTTTTGGGCGGGGCAGGTGCCGAGGAGGGCAGGGCATCCATCAGGTCCAACAAGGTGGTGTGCTGAGGGCAGGAATAAGCTGAGCTTTACTCAAGAGCCTTACCAGGCTTGGAAGTACAAACACGTGAGAGTGAAGAAGCAATTAGTATTATTATTATTATTATTTTTCATTTTACACGCCTGCATTGACTAGTTCCAAATTCAACCCACATGGAAGCAGCGTTAAGCTACACAACAAAGCAAACCCAAAAGCATAAAAGAGCTCAGTATTAAGCTAAGTTTGTGTTACTGTATTTCAGCTTTTGGCAGCATAACCGGGAATTTCTTAGGCGAAGGCACTACCTCCTTCTTTTTGGGAATTTTAATTGTGTCTCTGCGACTCTCCTCCAGAGCCATCTGTAATCTCAGATCGTCCCCGCGTCTGAGGCGCTCCTCCTGCAAAGGAAATCGACACTGGTGATAGAAATCCCAGCCTGCTCCTGGTGACAGAGACCCCAGCCTGCTCCGAGCTGCTGCTCCCTGCAGCATCTCCCGGCCCTGCACAGGGCTGTGATTTCCACTGAACACCCAGCAGGGAAAGGAGCTTCCCTCTGATCCTGCCTCAGCATCACCCCGACCCTGCTGTGGTCACAACAGCCGCTTTGCTGGCTGGGATTTACCCTGGTGGTGTTTCATTCTTTCCAAAATTCAGTTAGAAGCACCACTGAACTTCCAAGTGACAAGCCATTTTTAAATTAGCATCGTGGTTTTTCAGTGTTCAGACCACCACTGAGGGTTGCAGGGAATTAAAGTGAAATTTCCCTTGCTTCACTTCCCTCCACGCTGGTGCAAGATCCACCAAGGGAATGGAGTCCTGCCAACTCCATGTGTAATTTGAAGGTTTAAACATCTGTAACTACAATGTTTATGCCACATTCAGCTCCTTTAAATGTCTCTGCCTGCATCATGTCTCTCAGAAGTTGACTAATCCCCCAGCTTGTCATTTTTGAAGCTACTTCAAATGCTTCCATTCTGATTTATATTTTTGTTCCCTTTATTGCCCAATAATGTTAAAGTTTACTGGGTGATAGTTTCCCCTTCCAGGCACTCATGCTTGACACAGGATTGTAAACTGAATTGTCACAGGAAGCCTCTAAAATATTGGCTGACTTGAATTTTCACTCAGAGCTGAGATTTAACTTTGTTATATATTAAAATGCAGTCGTTTTATCCAAATTTTCTCCAAATTCAGAAGAAGCTCCTAAGAATCGGCACAGTAACATAACTCAGGTGATAGATTAGGAGTCAATTTACTTTAAATTATTTTTTTTAATATATTCTGGTACTTTGTCAGTCGCCCTCCTGTTCCAGGAACTCCCACCGCTCCAAATTCCACTGGAATCAGAATGCAGTGAATTAATGGAGCTTTTCAGGAGCAGTCATGTTTTCAGCTCCTCCTAACTGAAAACATCTCCAGTAATGTGGTGATTAACATCCTCCCACACAGAGTCTTCTCTCCAAGTGATTGGCATCTTCACTAGTCTCAACAGCTCGGAGGCTGGAGTTACTTTAAAAAGAGATTTAAAGAATAATAATAAAAAAAAATCAAAACCCACACACAAGATTCCACCTGGGGCAAAGCCAAGCTGCCATAAATGAAATTAAATACAATAAAATGAAACAAAATTTAAAAATAAGATAAGATGAAAAATAAAAATAAAATAAGATAAAGTATTATAAAATAAAATTAAATAAAAGAAAAAACTGAAAATAAATACAATAAAATAAAAAATAAATAAAATAAAATAAAATCAGATTGAATAAAATGGAATAAAACAAAAATGGAAAATGGAATAAAATCAAACGGAATAAAACAAAACATAAAAATAAAAATAAATAAAATAATAAAGTAAAATTTCAAAAATAAAGATAAAATAAAAATAAGAATAAATAAGATTAAATAAGATAAAGTAAGATAAAAAATAAAAAATAAATACAATTTTAAAAATAAAATAAGATAAAGAGAAAATAAAAATAAAACAATAAATAAAAATAAATAAATAAATATAATTTAAAAATAAAAATAAAATAAAATAATATTAAATAAAATAAAGATAAAATAAAATAAAAAATTAAAAATTAATTTAAAAATTTAAAAAATAAAATAAAGATAAGTAAGATAAAATAAGAATAAAGTAAAATTTAAAAAATAAAATAATAGATGGAATTAAATAAAAATAAAATAAGATAGAATAGAATAAGATAAAATAAAATAGAATAGAATAAGATAAAATAAGATAAAATAATATAAAACAAGGTAAAATAAAAATAAAATAAAATAAAATAAAATAGAATAGAATAAGATAAAATAAGATAAAATAATATAAAACAAGGTAAAATAAAAATAAAATAAAATAAAATAAAATAAAATAAAATAAAATAAAATAAAATAAAATAAAATAAAATAAAATAAAATAAAATAAAATAAAATAAAATAAAATAAAATAAAATCCAACCAAACAAACCAGGTGCGATCTGACCTCTCCCAGCAGGGACATTTGGCAAACCCACAGGACACCGACCTGCTCGGCCACCTCCCGGCTCATGGCCAGCGCCAGCTGCAGCTGCAGCTCCTCCTCGCCGCTGGTCTGGGGCCGCGCCTGCTCCAGCTCCGAGGACACGCGAGGGGACGTGGCTGTGGGACACAAACCAGCACGGTCAGCACAGCACAACAGAGGTCGGGATCCTGCAGCCCAGCTTGGGCTCCAAAGCCCCTTCTGCCCAGGGTGAGGGGGAATTCAGCTCTGCACGGCAGCTTTAGGGGAAAATATTCCTGGAAAATCAGGTTTTTTATAGGGCTGTGACATCAAGTGCCCCCCCAGCTCATGATGGATATACCCTGAGTGTATCAGAGCTCCTGACTTACAAATTCACTGCTGAAGGAAACATTTGTGGGTATTTATTATATCTTCCTTACATTTCATGCTGGTTATATCCTCAGCGTATCAGAGCTCATGCTGGATATACCCTGAGTGTATCAGAGCTCCTGACTTACAAATTCCATGCTGAAGGAAATATTTGTGGGTATTTCTTACAGCTTCCTTACATTTCTTGCATTTTACTCCTTCCAGTGTCAGTAAGGATCTGCTGGGAGAGGGCCAATATCAGGGTAAAGCTGGATACCACCCACTTTTCTATAAAATAATACAGTCTTAATGGGAAGATAAAGAACTATTCTTAACTGCTGAGCAGGCTTGGGGATAAACAAACCAGCTATTCAGACTCCAAACTGACACAAATACAGGATCAGTCTCTGTTAAAGGAGAGTTTGGTAAATGGGTTGGAGGTACTGGTTGGTTTCTGGGGCTGGTTGTGGTTTTTTTGGGGTATCTCCTCCCCTCCTCTTCAAGGAACAGTCAACCTTGAGAGCTAAAATATGCAATTTCTCAACACACAAACCATCTTTTAGTGATGTTTTCACTCCAGGAGCATGTGAAATTCCCATCCTAAAACCTAGCAGGTTTTAGCACTACATAGTAATTAAACAATTTTGTGTTCACTCTCTCACAGACAATTCTTTAGCATCCAAATCATTCACACAGGAATTTTACCTCACTTTGGCAAGGAAGTTTGTATTTAGTGGCTGGACTGATGATTAGTTTGGCAAAATATATACTGATATTTAATACATTTAATTGAATGTTTCAAACAAGCATGTCAAGCTCAAAGAAATCAAATTTCTTCCTACCAGCTCAGCTGGGCATGTGAAAATGAGATTACCAAACTCAGTTGGAAAAGCACTTTTTCATCACTACTTTAATTCTCCAAACACTTCCCAGTCTCTCTCCTTAAGTTTCAGGCCAAAATGACATCACAAAACAAGTAGAACTTTCTCATCCAGCAGGGCAGAAGTGCAAACAAGGAATAACCTTTCCTCCTTCCCACCACACCCCGAGGTGCCCTCCCACCCCAGCTGCTTCTAAAGGCACAAATTAATTTATCACCCACGACGATTCTTCCACCTTGTGCTGATCCTGAAGCTCTCAAGCCAACCTTACTTCAATTAAGATGCTACTCATCGCTCAATTCTATTACTTTTTCAAACTTGCTCATATAAAATAATTAAATTTAGCCTGGTTGATGAGTACTTACTGCTCCAACAGTCACTGCCAGGCTCTCCAATACATTACATTAAAAATATGGTGATTAAAGCATGTGATAATTCCCAGCCACTCACCTAACACAGGTAATAAATTAGCACTAATTCTAATAATTCTAATCCAAAATGGATGATTTTAAACCAGGATGGAGGTGGAAACACTTCCCTTTGGAGCCCAGAGAACATTTTCTGTTTATCTTTGCCAGAAGAAGATGGAGCAGTTTATGGCTGTCAAATACCTCAGGCTTGCAAATACCAGAGAGAGAAAAACTATTTCAGAAAAAAGGGGCAAGAATCCATGGTATAAACTGGCCATGGATAGGTTTGAGATGCAGATGGAGAAGAGCAGTTTTGCAGCAGGGATTAGAGAAGGAAAGAGTCCTGGTTTAAAAGCAGAGCCTGGGACAAAGGGACACCAGCAGAGTCACCTGAGAACAGATGGCACCCGGACTGGGAGCAGGGAGGAACCTTCTGCTCTGCTGGGCTTTTACCTGTGGGGGAGAAATGGGATTTCCTGCATTTCCTGCACCCCACAACAACCACGAGCCTGATGGCAGAGTGACACTCAAATCAAAATGATGCAAAATGGGTTCAATTCCACAGCTCTTCCTCCCATTTCTGCACAAAGGACTTGCTGAACTCACTGCCCAGCATTCCTGCCTGGAAAAGCTGTTAAAAGCAGGGATTGCATCCCACTCCCAGCCAGGCATGGGAAGGGCTGGCTTGGCTTTGGGAGGGAGCTCCAGGATCCCCACATGGATACCACGGGCTCACACACACACACAGGTTATTCCTTCTCACTTTTAGGCTTTCCAGCAATGCATTCTACTTGCTTTCATTAACTCTAAAAGGTATTTCCAGCTCCTTTTGGCTTAAAATAAAAGAGGAAAATGTCCATTTGAAGTTCTTCCTTGGGCCTCAATAAAAAAGCAAACTATAGGAATGTTGCTGTTTTCCATGTAAGCCTCTGCAGTGTTATAAAACCATCCACATTAAAGAGCTGCCAGCGCTTTTTGAAAAGAATTTTAAAAATAATTAAGGGAAATTCAAAGCACCTTCTTGGGAGTAACCTGACAACTTTTATCTCAGATTCCTGTCCATATGGGCCTCATCCTGCTGTAAGGTCAGAATTCCCAGGATCCAGCAGAAAGGTTACAGCCTCAGGAGCAGGATGGTGCCACACAAAGCATCCCTTATCCCCAGCACATGACAATTAACTCAGATGTTTATGTAAGATGGGACTCAATAGATCAATTCTGACCTGCTTAGCCCTGCTTTGCTGGGAATTTGGGGATACCAGTGCCTCCAGGAGCAAATGTGGGATCTGTTCCTGCAGGGAGCACAGGGCTGGCTGCTCAAGGAAATCATCTGGAGGCTCAGTTAATCACTAAAGCAGGATTCTGCTGCACCATCTGTGTCTGGACAGCTCCCAGACACATCTATTGATAATTTCCTATATTTTGGCTCTATTAAAAGGCCTCTGTAGCTGGTTATAGATCTGGCTGAGTTAAAGTGAAATACAGGACACAGAGAGCTGCATTAATAATAAAAATCAGACTGTATTTTCATTCAGAATCCTGTGCTTGGGTTTTGGGGCTGTTTTTGTTATTTCTGGGTTTTTTCTTTAGTGTCAGGCTTTCTAATTTGCAGGTGGAATTCTGAAGACCAGAATTCAGCTCTCAGTCACATTTGCTCAGTGTGAAAAGCTGCTTCCTCACACACTCAGTGAAACTACAAAGGTGGGCAAAACCAAAAGTGACTTGAAAAATTGAAATAATATCAAAGTAAGGACTCAGAAACCAATTCACTTGGGGAGCAGGCAGAGATCCCATCTGTCAGTCTGCCAGTGCAAGACCACTCAAATAAAATGGGATCATTTTAAAAAGCCAAATGATGGAAAGGCAAGTGCAAACTGCTTAATCCAGAAGGAATTGTGTAATCCACCTTTCCCCTGGGAATGAAGGGATCTTTCAGGTACAAGAGGAGAGTTGATAACACTGATGAATGTGATGAGGTGGAGCTGCTCAGCCCTCCTGCAGGATTCTGATTGCACTGAGCAGACTGAGAGCTGCTGAAATTCATTTAACACTCAACAAATCCTTCAGGTTTGTTTTGCTGGGAGCATTTTCCTCTCAGGTGATCCCTACCCCCGTGTGAATGGACACAGTTGGATAATTCAGTGCCACTACAAAGTCTGGATGCACCAGTGGCACCTCCCACCTTCACTCTCAGCACCAGAAAAATAAATGTATGATGAGAGGATTTAATCAAGCTGTCAAATGACATCTGACAGGAGTCTGCCACATTCCTTCAACACCTCAAACTACAGGAATTCTCCATACTGTTCAGCCAGATTCATTGCTGGGTGTTATTCCCTATATTCCCTAAGATGGAAGGGCAGGGATGTGTTCCAGCCTGCAGAGACACAGAACAGATTATTAAAGAAACAATTATTAAATAAAAACCAAACCCTTTAAAAACAGGAGTGTTCTTAACGGAACAGGCTGCCCAGAGAAGCTGTGGCTGCCACATCCCTGGAATGTTCAAGGCTGGAGCAACCTGGGATAGTGGAAAGTGTCCCACAGCAGGGGGCTGGAACAAGATGAGCTTCAAGGTCCCTTCCAACCCAAACCATTCTGGATTTCATAAATTTCCTATTGTGTCAAACCCAAAACAGCAATTCCTCTGAATTATTTTCTACTCCAAGCAAAAAGGGAAACAAAACCAAAACAGATGAGTGAACACAAACTTGCTGAGGCTTCACAAAACTGGTTTTAAATAACAAGTCAACCTAATGGCAATAATCACTGGAAATATTAAACTCATGAATTCAGCTACAGCAAATTTTTCCCAGAATTTTTCCAGGTTCAGGTTAAAGACTTGGCATTTCCCAAGATCCATAGAAGCCCTTCCCAGTGCATCTTTCAGCATCTCCTCTCTTCAGCAGGCTCTGAGCACAGCGAGCTGAAATCAGGGCACACTGAGCTCTGTGTGTGCCACCGAAATCAGGGTTTGTGCCACTGAAATCAGCGTTTGTGTCATTGAAATCAGGTTTTGTGCCACTGAAATGGGGGTCTGTGTCACTGAAATCAGGGTTTGTGCCACTGAAATCAGGGTTTGTGCCACTGAAATCAGGGCATCCATCACTCCCATCCCCTGGACCCCATCCCATCCCATCCCACCTCCTGGAGCACAGGGAAAAAGGGAAAAAAATAACACCTGGACATCCCAGCTTGGGCATAACAGGACTGGATCTCTTAAAAAGCATGGCCTGAGTAAACTTGGTTTTAGAACACCACCAGTGTTTGCTAGGCTGGGAGCAGCATCCCAGCTCAGGCTTAAGAGCTCTAAATTAAGAACATCCTACTTTTCCTCCTGCAGCCATAAATCCAGAATCCTATTTAAGTGGTCACTGGCAGCTGGAGATGAAACAAGGCCAGGAACAAAAGGCTGAAGTTTTTGAAACTGGGTGACAAATGTCAGGCAAAAACCCAATTATTTAGACCCAGAGGCAGATTAGGAGTAAGGGACTATTGCTCTAAAAGATTTTAAATATCTGCTTTATATCCCTTCCTCTCCCCAGGAAGTTTAGTTTTAGCACTACACAAGAATATTTCCAGATATATCTGGTATCAGATTTTATGCAACTCTACAGAATTCGCACATTTTCCAAAATAAATAAAAATTATGCATTTTTTCATGGAATATTTCATAGCTCCTAATCTGAGCATTAATTGTCCCTGGTTTGAAGCTGGAAGATAAAACCAATTGTTCCCAGTATGTCAGAAATTGCTGACAAGATGGAGGTTGGGAGGAGCTTTATTTCTGCTTTTTGCTTTTGAGTATCTCTCATGGCTTCCATTTTCAGGTTATGAGACTGAGTAGAAAAAGAACCCACAAATACATTTACAATTCACATGCCATAATGTGCTCCCTGGAATTGTCCAAGCACTGAGATCTTCAGGGCCAACAAAGTCATTAAGCAAAGCTTTGGGGGGAAAGGATTTTATTAAAAACCATCAAGTTGCACCATTTCATTCTGCACAGTTTCTAAAGGATTTTAGAGATGAAGTGAAAATATTCACAAGAAAACAGGGAAAAAATATCCTTATTTGCCTGCAGCAGTGAGGGATGATTGGATATCAGTCAAGGGATCTTTTTCCATCTTGAATTCTCTCACTACACAGGGTATCAATACTGCTTTTATTTTGTCACAAAGGATGAATCTGGGACACAAAAAGCAGCAATTCTTTAAGAAAACTCCTTGTGGCTCAACATGAAGCAAAAATCCATGCAAACCTGCACAGGTTGGGAAGCTGGACAAGAGGAGGGGTTTGAGGAGAGTTCACTCAGTGCTGGCTGTGCAGTGCAGCTGATTCAACATCCTCAACAAACTGACCCAAAAAGGCTTCACTGATTTAACCAAAATTGCCTTTTTAGTTCCTGAAAGGAGGGGACAGAGCTCCCTCACATCCACTCCAGTACCCCTCTATTCACTGGAAGTTACTGGTGAGCTGTCCTGCAGCAACTACCAAACTCTCAGCTCCTTCTTCTGCAAGAAAGCTCTGAAAATGAAATTTTATAACCCAAAATAAATCCTTCAAGCAAGGGGAATTAATTCTACAACCCCCACCCATCGTGTGTAGAAGGAGCAAGAGTAAAATGTGCTGGTAGCAAAGCACTGAGGGATGAAACATTTCCTGGGGTGGTGCTGGCAAAAAGGCTCTGCCACTGTCCCAAACTTGATTTCTGTTTGCCTGGTAAGCAGACGTGCTGAATACGCAGCAAAGAGGGTGGCTGGACATTTTGAAGAGGCAAATCTCATGCTGTAGATGGCAAATCTAAAAGTCTCTGATCTCTTCTTCAAAGGCTCAGAGGAATGAAAGAGAATTCTGCCAGAATATACAGAGCAGCAAAAGCATCTTAGAGATGTTCTAAGGGGAGTATTTCCCAGGAGTGAAGCAGAACTTCATTCCTTTTACAAATTTTTTTCTGACTCCAGATTTTCAGCACAAAAGAAGGGTATTAATAATAAAAAATATATAATTTAAATATATATTATTTATTTATGAAATTTATTTTAAAATTTTAATTTATATTTTATATATATTTATTTAAATTTAAATTATTTTTTTAAAAAAAAGAACACACGATGGATACAATCTCTTTCACTTTAAATAATGAAAAGTATCTCTTCCATCAAACTTAGCAGGCACAGGAATAACCCTGCATTTATGTAAGAGATTAAATGTCTGGATTTTAATGAAACTCCTTTCCTCGTTTCCTGGGATAAAGCTCTTCCCAGTTTCCAATATCTGAAGAACTCAGCGCAGCTGTTCTGGAAGGTGCTGTTTTGCTTTGCTCCACTCAATTAAACCAGACAAGAAACACATTAAAACCTCTAAACAGACAACCTGAGAGCCACCTGGATTTCTCCTGATCCACAGTGAAAAAAAATCCAGGAGAGCTGGAACAGAGGAAGAACCGAGGGGGGAGGAGGAGAAAAAAACCCCTGAGATTTCTAAATCTTCTTAGGAGGTGAGGGGGAAAAGAAAAGCTTAAGGAATCTTTACCTCCAAAGCAATCCTGCCACAGGACACACACGGGGAGGTGGGAGCAGCAAATCCACCCCTGGAACACTGAAGAGCCAAATTCGCTGCTTCTCCCATCAAAATTCCTAAAGCATCCCAGGAACAATTGAGGAACACGCCCTGCATTGCTCAGCCCTGCTGGGAGGAATAGTTTGGAGCCTCTGGCAGCATTTAAGATTCCAAACAATAGTTCCAGGCTTTAATTAAAGTTGGGACTGGTGGAGCAATAATTCTGTGAAAGCCAAGGTGTGCTCAGCATACCTCACTTTCAGCCCACCAGCCCAAGTTAAAATCAATATTTCAAGCTACTTCTAAATTAAGATTTTTTGTTGTAGTCACCAACAATCAATAGATTTGAAAAGGAAAAATGTTGTTATTGTGGAGGTAACAATATACGAGTTCTTCTTTAAAAATTCACAGTGCTCAAGCATGGTTATTATAGAAAAACTACATAAATACAGAGAAAATATGATTACAAGAAAATTAACATGTTTGTTATCCTACTGCTAATTAAAAGTCAAGATCAAAAATTCTAATAGCTGGAAACCTTCACTCACATTTTTTGTACCCTCTCTGCTAAAAAAAACTTCCTTTTGGAAATACTTTTTTCTGCTTGTCTCCAGAGCTTTAAACAGAGATTTTTCTCCATCCTGGTTTGATTTTCCTGCTATCTCCTCCTGCAAATGTCAGCAGGGCTGACCCCACTCATGGATTTATGATTTAAGAAGTACTTTGGGACCCAGGACATGACAAACTTCAGAGCTGGTGCTCAATGGTTCCTGCACCCTGGCTCAGTTACAGCCCTCCACACGCTGGAAACATTCATTTAAAGAAAAGATTTCCCTTCAGAATTAGACCACAACCACTGACATTCCAGCCAAAGCAGCTTTCATCAGATCATTACTTACACTAAGGAGGATTTAGTGCCAAATCAGGCCTCTTCCTGACATGACAGGGAGTCCCACCAAGCAGTGGTGGAAAGAATTCGTTCTTCCCACATCATTGTATTCATTTTTTAAGAATGATGTATAGTATTTAGTATTTAGTACAGACACACAGCAAACACTGAGAATTTAAATATTTAAACATAAATTTAAAGCAGTCTTCCTCCAAGAACTGCTAAGTAAGCAATAAAGTAAATTAAACAGCAGCATTGTTGGCAAATTACAATAGGAGCAGCATAAAGTAGCAAAATGATTCAGGAAATATTCTGTATTTCTTATTTATTCTTAGTCCAAGAATTATTGGCTGGATGGGACTTGAAGCAACCTGGGACAGTGGAAGGTGTCCCTGAGCATGGTAGAGGGTGGAATGAGATCAGCTTTAAATTCCCTCCCAACCCGAAAACCGTCCTATGATTCCATCCTGAACAAAAAGAACACATCTTCAAGCACTGCTTGCTTTTAAAACCAGAAACAAAGAGAAAATCCCCATCCCAGCAAACCCTGGAACACGTTCACAAGAGCAGCCTGGCAGCGCTACCTTTGGAACTGACAGTAAACAAGGGCTTTTAAAATCCATTTCCATCACTACACACGTCCTCTCCGCAGCAAATATTTATCCAGGCATCTGCAGAGACATCAACAGCACAGACCCACAACAGCATGACCCTCAGCAGCAGCAGCAGCAGACCCACAGAGATCCCAGATCTCCCTGCAGGCAGCACTTCCACTCTCCCGCCCCCAAGAGCAGCCCTCCAAAAAAAGATTAACACCTCGGGTGTGTTTGTACTTACAGCCATGGTAGGATGCTGGGGAGCCTCCAGACTTTCCATACTCCTGCTCTGAGTAGCTGGTGGACAGGTTGGGCTGGCTGGAGCCTCGGCCAAAGGTGATCTGGTTGCTGCCCACCCCAGTGGCCACCTGAGCCATCCGTTCTTTGGTCTTCAGGGCTTGGGCCCTCTCCGTCTTGAGGCGCTCGTCGTCCTTCAGAAGGGACACCAGCTGCTTGGATTTCTCCCTCACATTGATGCCCTGGTCTTTCCCATCCCGATCGATGTACTGAAAATCTTTCAACGTCTGGATAGCAAAAATATTCTCTTTACACTGCTGGGCCACCCTCTCGGACCCAGTTTTAATCAGGTAATCTAAGAGAGTGAGGGCCTTGTAGACGTGTCGCCAGTTCTTGCCGTGGTCATTCAATCGTTTCCAGATCATGCTCATAATTTCAGAAAAGGCCACAACATTGTAGGTCAGATCTGCTATTTCAGTCATCAACGAACTGGAAGGACCCCAGGGGTCATTCGAGGTCGCTTCCCGAACTTTTATTTCGGCCTCTGAGTAATTGTTCACAATGTTCTTCATCTGCCGTCGGATAGACGAAGTCGTCATTTTTATTTCCCTTTTTACCAAGACAGATTCCACAACACAAACAGCAAAAAGCTAAATTTGCTCTTCCAGGAACGTTTCTGAACTGCAAAGGCTCCGGAGCAGTGGCGTGTTTGTGACACGTTCCACTACAATCATTTCCTCTCTTCAAGAGAATGACAGGAGAAAATGAAAATCATGACCTGAGTGAGGAAAGAAAACAAAGCAGGTTAGCTGGGTCTGATTGTTCTGCACAGCCAGCAAGCCACACACGCCTGGGAGAAATTTTCCTAGATTAATTTTTTCCTCCTCAAATTTCTTCGGATTTTGAAAACAACTTGTTCTTCTCACGAGTCACATTAAACATTTAAGATTAATAACCTGAAGTGCTGAGCAAAACAAAAGCAAGAAGACAATCACAGTGATACAAAGGCAAAATTTTAAAAGCAAACCAGAAACAAAATCCAAGCTGGAGACTTATTTTCCAACATAAAAACTACCTAAAACTTTAAATTTCAGAGCTTAGATGAAACCATGTGAGAAATTCCATGTTCAGCAGCCCTCAACAGTAGGAATCTGCATCCAGAGAGAATGAGGAAATTTCCAAAAAATCAACCAAGCCATTTCTGAAACCCTGGGTAGTTTAAAGCCCTCCCAGTCTCAGGACAGAGATCCTGTGGCCCAACATACTCCAACTCAAGGTGACCTTTCATGATAAGCAGATTAGAAGGAATTGTTTTTTCCCAAATGCATTTACTTTGTTCATTTGACAACACTCAGCAGAGCCACACCTTCCGCTCTGTGCATCCTTTGCACAGCACCAAGGAATTTTTAGTTCTATGAGAATGGAACTGTAAAGCCAAAATGATCGGCAAGAAAAGGCAAGGACAAGCTGTGGAGCTGGAAAGCCGTGTCAGTTCTTTAGTTAAGGTCACTGTTTCAAGTAAACAGAGGCCTATTAAGCTTTGAAATCAATTACTTGAGCAAACTGGCAGATTGGCCATTCCATGAGCACAGAGCAGCCCTGAGAGCCACCAGTGGCACAAACACTGAGCAGGGACACAAACTGAGCTGGCCACGTTCACAGAGGTGCCCATCCACATGGCCTTTAATACTGCTCCTCCAAACACTCCCAAGAACCAGCCCCATCCCTCACAGAGAGACTGGAAACAAGGACAGCACAGATTTCAAACCTGACATTGTTCTCATTCTTCAAATTACCACAGTGCCATTTGGAATGGAAGCAGAATTCAGTGTCAGCACAGGTCTGTAATGGGTTTTTTTTCAGCATAAAGGCAAATTCCCTTCCTTGGAAACCTTTCTGGGCAGGTTAAGTTACCACAGAACACACCTAAGTAGTTGTTTTATTTGATCTTCTTCCACTAAAGTTGATTTTTGGCAGAACAAAAGCCTCTTATGACATGATGGAAGATTAACTTTGAATGAGACCAACACTAAGCTTCAGGTAAACTTCATGCCCCTGGTGTTATATATATGCCCCAAAATTTAGAACTAGCTGTAGTAGAGGAGATGGATAACAGCAGGAATAAAAAGGGGCATCTCCTAGGACATTTAAAAAACCAGAATTTGAAAATGTTGATCCTACACAAACATTCCATGACTGTTCTTTCACTCTGGAATTTTACATTGCCCAGATCTGTTGGCTCACCTGCCCCTGTGATCCCTCTCTAATGTATGACTTCTAAAAGGTGAGGAAACAATAAAAATTAAACAGAAAAAGCACAATGTATATCTTACTTAGTCTAAGCCATTTCTCTTTGCCAAGAATGGGTTAGGCAAATTCCCAGCAAAGCTGAAACCAGTTATCCAGGGGATCTGGAAGGTCACACTGAGCTGGGAGCAGGCTGCAGGCAGGAGCTCCTGCAGCTGGAGGCACCACAGGATCCAAGTGCCAGGGAACCATGGACAGAATTCTGATGATTATACAGATCCTAGAGCAGAAGAATCCAATCCTCCCACAAAAACTGAGCTTTTTCAACCAGAAAAGCAATGAATAACATGACAAATCAAACCCAGGAGAGCTACAAAACCTTCTAAACCAGCTGGATTAGGAGTCCACCAAGCCTGAGATCCTCAGACACAAATCCTTGTGCAAAGAGCCTGAGATTATTCCCTTGTATTCCTCATATTCCCTTGTATTATCAGCACATGGGACACCCTGGATGCCAGCATGGACACCCTGGGCCTCTCCCACTCCCTCTGGAAGCCACCTGAGCTCCCTGTGACACCCTCAGCAGGTACAACCAGTGACCACAATGAACTAACAACTCCTTCAGGTTTCTGAGAAAGAAAACATCACCTTGGGCTTCTTTATGTCCCTCATGGTTTTATGGGAATTGGCCAACTCCTTCTGAGCTGAGGTTTTCTAAATTCAGGCTACTTGGAAGCTTCTCCATATCTCCATCATGCCTGTGGTCTTTCCACGCACAGATTAAACTCTGTTTTCTTGGGATACACACAGTTCCCAGCACTCTGCATTTCACATTTGGCAGCAACAAAAGTTTATATCACAACACAAATCATTTACTGCTTAGCACTCCCCATGTATCAAATACTTCCTGAAATTCCACGCGTCCCTTGGGAGTTGTTCTTCTAGTGCACATTTCTTCTCCCTGTGCATTTCACCTGCCATTTTATCCCTCAGCAGGTCTCAATCTTTCATCATTCCTTTCAATTCAAGATTAAATTCAATTTGACTAATTTGCTTCAATTCAGCCATCTTACTCTTTCAGGCCAATCTGCTAAAGGGAGTATTTGCAAGAGCACTGATGAGTGAGCACTGATCTCACTATCTCGGAGCCCTTCCCTGTGAGAACCAACATTTACTCCTAACCCCACTTCCTGTCCTTTAACCCACTGCAAATCTACAAAAAAACATTCTTGCCTAATGGAAGTTTTATTTCTTTCAAGGCCAGGGATGAGAGGCCTCCCCAAAATCTTTTTACAAGTACACTACAGGAGCAGGTGCCTCACCTGTGTGTACCTCCCCAGTCAAAGAAAAGTTTCTTACTTTACAACTTCACAGGCTTTTGGAAAAATCATTTTAATACCTCACATGTAAAAGTCCCTGAAGAATTAACCACTCTCACAATACAACTGCTTCCTTTTTCTCTCTCTCACACCAAATCCAGCCATTTTTACACAACAGCACAGGAAAAATACTCTAAGTCTCCTAAACTCTGCAAGATGAGTAAGAACAACCCAACTCTGGATCACTTCTGGAGCTGATTAAATGCAACACAAAGCTGTCAAAGTCTAAAAAAACAGAGCAAAGAGCCTTCATTCCCTCCCAATTACATCCCACTAGGAAAGCAGGCACTTGGTTTTGGAGAAGAAACCAAAGGAAGAACTCTTTTGGAAGCTTTTCTAAGTCTGGAGGAGCACTTTGGAAAAACAAACCCAGAGCAAACACAGGAGAAAACACACTGGGTAAAGAGAAACCAGCAATTTCCACACTTCCAGGAAATTAAATATTCCACTTGTTGTTCTGTAACAGACTCAAAACCCATCAATCCATCAGCGCTGAGGGATTCTTCATCTCTGAGTCCTGAAAACCAAGGCCTTCAATGAGAGAAACATTAAGGCTTGTTTTTTCCTTTTCTTGATGGACATGTTTTCATCTTATTCTACTCATAGCCCATAAAAACCAACTTACTCTAAACCTCATAATGAACACCCAGGGGATGCCAGGATGGAAAACTGATGGAGCTGCTGCTCCCCTCACCAATGCTGTGCCAACACTCCAGTGGGACTGACCCTCACCTTAGAGCTCTGGTTTTGTCCCTGCTTTACTCCCTCACCACACAATGGAAGCCTTTTCTTGGATTATTCCAAACCTTACAGCACCACAACAAGCTCTTTTACCATTAAACAGATCAAAAAGCCAAACACCCCAACTGCATAAAAGTGAGGAACAGTTTCTAGCACATTCTAACAAATTCTTACACAGAAAGTTTAGATTTTTTTTTTCCAGAGACCTCAGTGAATTAACTTCTCACAACAAACCACAAGGAAGCACAATGCACTTGCAACTTCAGCAAAAATATGAGTTTGCATTTTTAACAGCAGAGTTGCAAAGAAAGCAGAAAGTGAGACCAGTTGATTAAAGCTGTTTCTGGTTAGCAGGAAAAAGGCTTGAGCAGATTTCTGTGAAAGTTAAACAGTTCAGTCTTGAGGTGCCTTCCTCATTTTTGCTCTTGGTCCCTACAAGCCATTTTCTCTGATTTTGAGTACCTTGACATGTCCAAACGGCAAAGCAAACAGATGTGCAGACAAGAAGGTGAAGCTTACCTGTGTTCCCAGGGCAATGCTGGAGGGAAACACCCCATCCCCTTTTCCCTATTCCAGCAGTTCCATTACACAAATCATGAATTCTCCTGGTGCTTCCCTACACACAACGTGCAGACAGAAGAAATTCTTGCTTGAACTCCTCATCTCTCTCACAAGAGATGAAGCTCAGTGAATGAAATCTGCATGAGGGAACATTTTTAACTTGCTGAGACTAACACAGAACCAAGGCCAAGCCACAACTCTTCATGAACTCAGTTCAAAGCAAACAGCCCCACAAATCCACCTATAGACAGGCTTTCAGCAGAATCCATTCACACCTCTGGAATGTAAAACTCCAACCAGGATTTGTCTGCGCTGATAAAATGCCCTTCATATCAGCCTGAAGGTAAATATCTGCATAGCCCAGCTAAGCATGCACCAGAAATAAATGAAAAGCCTTCAATATCAAGTATGAAAATTAACATTAAACATCAGGAGTTCACCTGACACATGCATAAAATTTTAATTAATAGTATTACAGACAATATATATCCTCAGATTAGACATTTACTGTAAGTCACATGCATGAAAAGGAAGGTTTGGAAAATAGTTATTAATTCAGTCAGCCTGTGATCTGAATCTGCAGACATCAAATCTACATAAAAGTATCCCAGCCTTGCTGCCTCCCCTCTCAGCTGGGAATACACAGAGATTTGCTCTCCCTATCAGGCTGCAATGACAGAGGCGGGTGATGCTCAGGGACCTGTACTCCAGGATAAATCAGGGAATTCTTACCCATCTGCAAGGATCAGGCTCAGAGAAGCTGCTGCCATGTGCTGACTGAGGAATCTGACAGACACTGACACCACATGCACACAGCCCCAATCCCAGTGAGAAGTCAGCTCCTATTTAT